ATGGATGGATGGATGGATGGATGGATGGATGGATGGATGGATGGATGGATTGAATGCAATGCTTTGACAATATATACACTCCAGCTCCCATGGAAGTGACTTATGAGCCCAAGGAGCCAAGAAGTGTCATTTTTATCATACAGTAGATACAAATATTCCTTTAAAGTCTATAAAGCTGGTAAAAATACAAACTAAATTGGAATAAACCAATAATAACATAGCAGCATGTTCTTTGTAAATTGAATAGAATAGAATAGACCAGGGATCTTCAAGGTTTTCCAGGCTAAGGACCCCCAAACTGATGGCGAGATGGAGCGGGGACCCCCTAATTAAATATATTGTATGAAATTGTGTTAAATCAAACTGGTCCTATGGTCACTTTATTACAGATGGATTCATGTAATGAAAGTAATTTCTCCCTGGGATTATTAAAGTATTTCTGATTCTGATTCCTCATTGATGGGTCAGGTGTTGTGAATGAAACGGTGCCCAGCTTAAAAGAGCTCCTGCGTGTCACTGAATGTGAGCATTGATGACTGAAAGACATCTTCTGCCTCCATTTATCTGTTTACTACAGAGTGTTGAACTCATGTTAATGTGGATCTAAAGACATTTCAATTAGTGGAGAAAATTGCAGGAAAGAATATATTAAAAAAAAGGTGAATCAACCAAAACTTTCACGACCCCCATGCAGTACGTTCGTGGCTCCCCTAGGGGAGCGAACATACCCTGTTTAAGTCCTCCGGAATAGAAATTCACATATTATATCGACTTTTAAATTATGAATTCCAAAGTTTCATTTTGTTCAGATGCCTCATTAAAACTTTTTATGCCAATTTAGACCGATATTAAAGTAAGTTTGACACCCTGACATTACTTCTATGTTGTCTATAGGATCTGTAGGCGCTTTTTTTGGCCACTCTTTCATTTATGCTCAGAATTTGCGACACTTTAGTTCCAGAAACTGTTTTTCTAAATATCGCTCAGGTCTTCAATTTAGATAAAAGATTAAGTTGCTACTGTTCTCATTCTACTTAACAGTTATGAGTGACTTTGTGTTCGTTTATCAGATAAACTCCTAACAAATACATGAAAAATTTTGGTTGTAATTAAGGAAAATGTGCAAAACAAGTTCAACATCTGTACAAAACAAATCCATCAGCATCAAAGGAACAGATCCTGGAAATATGGTGCAGTAATCTTTCATGTTTTGCAGTCATACCTGTACAGTTACCAGCAGGGTCATCATCCATATATCCCTGCTGGCAGACACAGTGGTAAGAGCCCAGTGTGTTAATGCATTCTGCCTGAAGAGAGCACTGATGGAGAACAGGCTGCTCACACTCATCCACATCTGCTATGAGAAGGGCAGACATGTTCGAAGTTTATTTAGGAAGCATAAAATGTAAAGTTATCAACTGGCATAGCATATCAAAGAATACTCTTATCAGAATGAACCACAATGTTTGGCATTATGTGTCACCCTAACATCTAGTCATGCTCATGTATCTAAATATAAGACCATTGCACTCAGGCGGTGATTTAAACTGGCACTGTAGAATAGAAAGTTGATTATCTCCAACAGGATCTCTGTGAAAGCAGCCTTTCAGTGCACGCACCATGGTGACCCATTTGCTGTCTTTTGTGAAAATGCAACCAATAGGATTTATGATTAATATGAGCGTGTGCCTGTGTGAGCCTGTGTGCGCGTGGGCGTGTGTGTTTGTGTGCGCAGTCGCTCTGGTGTTATTTTCCGCTATTGCAGGAAACATCCCACAGAAGACTGTCTCTCAAACAGTAGTGGTGGGAGAAGGAAACCGTGGTGCGGCTGAGTCATTTTTTCCTGAACACCGTGTTCTCGGCTACATGAATCATTCTCAAAACTCTGCAAGAATGTCATTTCTCTAAAGGGAAAGAAAAAAAGCCTCAAGTAGCTCAACTAGAGAGGGAGAGAGAGAGATCAGTGGTGGCGTACAGATAAACGTGTCACTTCACCTTGCACTGTTACTGATGACACCTCCGGTATGTGTTTAAGAAGAAGCTGCAGCTTTGATGTTACGTTGTACAGTGAAAGAGACGAGTTGCTCAGGAGGAGCAGAGATGTGGCAACTCTGAAGGGATGGACGGGCAACGCACTGAGATAAAAGATAGAAACCTCAGACTCCAGCGCCCCAGTTATCTTTTAAGAGAAATAAAAACATATATTCTATAATTAGCTTGATTATGACACCATTAGCTGATAATATAACTGACATTATAGCAAGCTTTACAGATGATCCTGGTATTTAAAGTCAGAGTTAATGATTGGCTAATGTTCTAAACATCACAGCCATACAATGACGGTGGGTTATGTCACAGTGTGATTCACTGAATTGTATTCTTTTTTATGTAAAGGAAATGTATCACTGTCAGAAAAACTAACAATCTTGCAAATCCCCCCTAAATACATCATCCTCACTCTGAGGCACGGTGGCGGCAGTATTATCTTTTGGGGAGTTAATTGGTGTTAAATGGAGATAAATAAAGGGAAATCTGTTAGAGGATGCAAAAACTTCAGACTGAGGAAGAGATTCAGCCTCCAGCAGAGAAACAACCCTGAACATTCAGCCAGAGCTATGGTGGAAGCTTCATTCGTTAGAAAGGGCGATTAAACAGACATAAATCATACTCTTCCAGTCAAGCTTTAAGTTACCTGCAGCTTTAAGGGGATTTTAGGAAGCACTGACAGAGCTTTATTTTCCTCCCACTTAATGGTTATTTTCTGTGACACTAACATAAAATCCCGACATCATCTATTAGAGGTATAGTGGATGATTTTTGTGAATTTTTTTTTAAAAGACCAGCCCCCTTGCCTTTATACAAAAATATGATGGACTTTATAGCAAAATAGTTAACTGACCGTTTGGACAGATGATCACTACTTTTAGCTCCGTGGTTCACGTAATTCCTCCTCCACTGCGCGGTGCCTGCCTTAGTCGCTGTTGTAGGGTAGCGACAGCCTATGGCCACAGCGGGCCGCTGTGACAGAAAATCCCATAATGCTTTGTGTGGAGAGCTCTCCTCGCAAAGCATTCTGGGATATATCTGCCTCTTCTGAGGCCTTTCTATTCTTCTCATACACTGCATAGATACTTACGACCCTCTGCCATTTTTAATGAGAGAGATATATGCCTGAAAGTGTGCATGTGCACAAAAAAATAGCTAACAGTATGAGCATGGCCTTATGTAAACATATAATCAGAATGATTGACAATTAAGAGGACCACTTATTTTGATGATCCATCTGGAAATAAAAGACCATCCTGTATAGCTTTAAAGGTTGTGTTTGCAACTTGAGAGATTGTGGACTGCAGTTTTTGGACTTCTGCAGGACACACTATAAATCCTCTGAGTCTCAAATGCAAAGCAAAAGCAGGAACTGAAACCAGGAGTTGCGTTACCATTGCTTGCAATAATCTTGTGAGATTGAGAAGCCCATTTTCCTTGGACAGTTGCTGGTGATCCATCTTAACAGTCAGTGTTGTATTCCAGAGGCTTCCTTCAAACCGCAGATCTTGTTCTGGTCCAAAAAAGATTCAGTTTAAATGATCAGTTCATGCAAATTAAAAAGCAAAAAAGACCAACAAACTCTAACATTGTAAACTTAGTGGCTTCTTTGATTTGGTTATGTGAAATATGCAGACATAAAACTCAAAATCTGTAACCACACCAACAAAAAAATGAAATGTATCAAACACAATGACTGCCTGCTGTGGAATTTGTAAGGATGCAATAATAAAAACACTTCAATTCTTTCACAATGATCCTGTTGAAGCACCATGTATAATGTATACATTTCATTTTGTACACAGAGTGTAGAGTCAAAGCTCATTAAACCTGAATAAACTGAAGGCAGACTAAAGATATGTGAGCTAAATGTTAAGCAGAATAATATAAGAAACCATAAAGGTCATAAAGAAGGCGGTAACTAAAGGTTATCTGTGCATAAAAAGTTATTTTAATTGCATGTAATCAGAGTGTAATTTAGAAAGCTTAAGAAGTAAATGAGGTCATATCTACGTTTACTGTGGTTATGCATTGTTTTAGTTTCTTAAAGGTTTTCATAAATACAAAGAAAGAGAACTCAACATTCTCAGTTTCAGAGTTTTCTCTTGAATAAAAAACTTCGGTTTAATTGCTTATAATTTATCTTGATCATTTTTATCTTTTTATTTCTTCTGAAGTGATGTGAGCAGTAGAAACTATAGATGACCGTGATTTAGATTTTATTAATTATGCAACTGTTTGCATTTTCTGTCATTTTTCCCTTTTTTCTTTCTTATTTCTTTCCTCTATTCCTTCTTTGTGCGCTTCGACCTTTATTTACTCTCTTCTTTCTTTCATTATGTCCTTAATTCTTTCTTTTGGTACCTTTTTTATGTCCGTCCTTCTACCCCTACAATCTTCCTTTCTTTCTATGGGTCCTTCCTTGTTTGTTCTCTGCTTCTTGTGTGCTTTACAGTTGCCCTTAAGTGCCTTGCAAAAGTATTCACCCCCTTAGATTTTCACTTATTTATTTATATTCCAAACTGTAATTTCAAAAATTGTTATTTTTTGTGATAAATTGAAAAACAAAATGTATATAAAAGAAGAATAAAACATTGTAACCTGGGATGCTGATGTTCATGGTATCATATGAACTGTCAATTTAAAAACACCTTTTCTCAAATGGTGCAGAGGCTGCAACACCACTTAACAAGAAGCACTGCACCGCAGGACGACAAACGACGCAGAGACAACGCTGTTGAGGAAGACTAGTCACACTGGGGTCATGAAAAGTTTTTTGATCTTTGATGCTCTCCTTTTTCACCTCACTAAAGTCAAAGTGGAAAGCATGACACCACAACAACCCTGCAAAGACAGACTCGCAGGCGGAGGAGATGTAGAGTTCTACTGCAGAGACTGGAGTATCTGTCCTTAGAAACACAATGTACCGAAAGGTTGCTGGGGTTAATGGAAGAGCGACCAGAAAAAAGCCATCACTTAGTGGTGAAAACAAAATGCACATTTGGAGTTTACCAAAAGGCACGTGGGTGGCTCCCCTAATGCATGCAGCAAGGTGCTCTGTTCAGATGAGACTAAAAATGAACCTTTTAACCAGCAGAACTTCTCTGTCTGGCATGAACCTAATGCTACCATCATCTGAACAAACTGTGCTAAATACAGGGATACTTCTGAACAAAACCTGAGATTTCAGACTGGGATGGAGGCTAAACCAAAGCACAACGCTAAGGCAACAATCCAGAGGGGAAAACATTGTGTTCTCAAAGACCATACTGCAGAAAGTATCTGTTTGACCAAGTCGTGCAATCTTAGATCTAGCAAAAACATTTTTTTGGTCTTATTTTCAGATTCATATACCAAGAAAGTGTAGATTTTGTTAGTTTATTAATCTTCTTTTGAGAAAATTCTACTCAAAGTCAGTGAACTAAGAGTTTAAAAAAAGTAAAAAAAAAAAAAAAAAAACAATCCAATGGACTTTGTTTTCAAGTTTAAAGATGTTTTGCTTCCCAGGAATCCATTTATGTTAAGAAAGAAAAAAAAACCTTAAAAAGAGGGGATGAACTCAGATTTTGGCTTTCAAAAACATACAATGCAGCAATTGAGTTGATTCCTTCCCGTTATCATCACAACCCCAACGCCTGTACAGGACAGCAGAAGACCTCGCCTATTCAACCAGGCCAACAATTCCCTTAAACGACCCGCTTGCAGAGACGTAGACGGGTATGGGACCTTGCAGGCTAACAAAAGAAGCCAAACGATCCCCATTCCAAAGGGGCGGACCCGTTCGTCCCTTTCTATTTGCATGTTTTCAAAACAAAAACAAGGTTTTAATGTGCTACTGTATAAAACCTCGAACTTCCGTGATGGAAGCAAAACTTCTTCAAACCTGGAAACAAAATCCAGTGGATTTATTTTTTTGGTAGGACTATGACTTGGATGACTGAGAGTCTTCACCAGCACAGTGCAGTAAGATAAGAACTGGTAAGACGTCTTTTGCAAACTATATATGATGATTTTAAAAAGTTTTACCAAGTACGATTGTCTTACTGCATTGATTTAGAGTAGAATTTTGTCAAAGGAAGATTAAGAAACTAACAGAATCTACACTTGTTTGGTATATGAATCTAAGAACAAGATCAAAAAGACTTTTTGGCTAGATCAAAGATTGCAAGACATGCTGAGATTGACACTTTCTACAGTGCAGACGTGAATCGAATTGAGTATATTTAGTTATACTTAACAGGCCAAAACCATCCAATAGGAAAGGAGCCGGAGCTTTTTGGTTGTAAGGCATGGAAAGAAATGCAGAGAAAAAAAAAAAAAAAAAAACACTTGACCAAAGAGGTCTGCAGCTCTAACTGACACAAACGATAAGTTAAGGAGGCTGATCAGCTATGAAGGCTGTGATTATCCATTATATATGACCACTGTTAGTAGTTTGCTTCACAATCAATTAAATCTTCTTCCTTCAAGCTGTAAACTTGTTCTATAAAGGAAATAGTGAGAACTTTAACCTCTACAGTTGGTATCCAGGCCATGAGGCATTAAAACATGAGAAATCCGGTGAAGGAACTAAAGGAGGACATACGTGATGACATGTGGTACACCATTTGTAAATAAATCACTACTAGTTCTAGGAATTGGAAAATTTACTGTTGGAAAAGGTTCTTTGATTTCTCTGAAGATAAAAAGGGCGGGGCCTCACAGTGCTGCAGTGGGTAGAGCTGCTGCCTTGCTGCAACAGGGTTCTGTGTTCGATTTCTAGCCCGAGAGTCTTTTGCATGTTCTCCCTGTGCATGCGTGGGTTCTCTCCGGGTACTCTGGCTTCCTCCCACAGTCCAAAACATGACTGTTAAGTTCTTCTCTAAATTTCCTTAGGTGTGAGTATGTGTGTATGGTTGTGTTTCCTTGTGTTGTCCATGTGTTGCCACATAAAAGACTGGCGACCTGTCCGGGGTGTACCCCTCCTCTCGCCCATAGACTACCGTAGATAGGCACTGGCCCCACAGCGACCCTGACAGGACTGGGAGAAAGTGGGAGAAAATGGGTGGATTGAAATGGATAAAAAAAAGGCATTGTTGTCCTTAAACCAAGCCTTCTGTGTGGGTCATGCATATATCTTCTGGTAGAGCTGCAATTTGTCTCAATTTTGGGAAGATGTTACCAAAAAAATTAATAAGATATATGGGGTTTATAGCACCCCCAGAACAATACTGATATACTTCAGCTATGTAAAGGGAGCAGAGATTCAGAAGAAGGATCTTTATTTGTTTAAAATTATGCTGGCAGCAGCAAACCAAATGCCACCATGGTCCAAACAAGAACCTCCTACTGTCAAAAACTGGACGGACCATGTAGAAGAAATTCCCAGCATGGAAAGACCCACTTTTATATTAAGGTTCCAACAAGCAAAATATGAAGATCTTTGAAAAAAAACAGACAATATATATTAATGATCACTGACCACCAAATCTCAAAGTGGTGAAAGGTGAATACTTTTGAAAGGAACCCTGCTTATAGCCTGTTCAGTGGAGAAGACATCTCTGTTACTAATAGTGAGGCCTACTGCAAAAAATGGTAATAAACTAGTGAGAACTGTAAATCTGAAGATGAGGATTGTTAATATTGTAAATATTGGAGAATCTGCATGACTGATGTTAGCTACACTGCAAAAACATTCAGAAAAGGAGTAAAAAATTCTTAAAACAAGAGTTTTTATCCTTAATTTGAGTAAGAAAGATGATGCACTTGAAAAAAGAGACTGCAGTTGTTTCTTCTTAATTTAAATCTAATTTCATTGGTAAAGTGTCTCACTTACCTCCTCAATTAAAATAATGCACTTATTTTAAGAAAAATTGACTTACATTTACATCTTTTGCAGTGTAATGCTATCGTTACAGACAGTATAATTAGATTTACAACTAACACAGGCTCATTAAAGTGTTTTGTTATGGACCCAGCCACTTTGCTTCACTTGCACTGTAAAACTTGAATGAAAAAAAGCTTAAAAACCTTGATTAAATTTTCTGTCCTTTCTTAAAACGACGTCTCTTTAATAAACAGAGAACTTCAGCTCTACAGTTTAATAACAGTACAAACAGGAGGTGCACTAACTTGTAGGATCGGTGCAGAGAAACTGTCCAAATCTCTGGCAGCATTTCTGCCAGCCTGGACAGTCTAAATCAAACTCACAGTCCGCAAAACTGGGAGACAATCCATCTGCAGTTGGACAGGATCCTGGCTTGGCGGTTAACTCATCACTCCTGTTTACAGCTTCATTCAAAGGAAATAACATGTTACAGGCCACGTATTAGCAGGGAGTTATTTGTAGCACTGCAGTTTCTGCTCGCCCATCTGGTGTCTTGCACACACTGAAAGGGCAGCGTGATTGCAGAATACAGAGCAGGACACTACATCATCAGATTTATTAAAGGAAAAGACCAGATCACAGTTTAAAAACTCTAAAGCTCCAACCTAAAGCTGGATAAGCAATGCTGAGCGTACTTACATAGGGAACAGTAACGACCAACTTGATGATAGCCATCACAGCACCTCGTCACCTGCTCATTTACTGTCTTGTACTCAATCTGATGCATCATCTTGTAAAGGGTGACGGTACACGTCGTCCACGGTAACCATCCTCCACAAGGCTTTGTCACTCTATAAGGGACCGAATGTATCACCAAGAAACTCACAACTCTGGTCTCATTCTGGACACATAGATGGTAGCCGGAGGAAGACAGGCTATTCCCTGGAATACAATATAAACTGTTAATACAAAACTATTTCCTTTAATATGATATTTAAATTGACTATAAATATTCCTTAAAATGTAAATCCTGTGCTGTCTTTTGGGCCTACCTTCACCCACAGCGTCCTGTGTCGAGCAGAGAAGCGGCAGGGCCTGCGACGCCCAGATTAAGAGGATCCATCTCATTTTTCCCAGCTCAGAATCCCTAACATGTATTCAGCCGCCACATAGCCAATGCATGTTTGACTTTAAGATGCTAGCTCACTGCTCAGGGTGAATCCTCTGTGGCCTTGTCTTTCTCCACCCCTCGCTGCTGCATCAAGTCCCCAACGGACCGCAACGCAATCACAGCAAGGTGTTAATAAGATTATCAAAGTTATGGAAAACTATTTGAATGCAATTGGTGCTTCTTTTTGAGAATACAACATCATCCTCATAACTATTCAACCTCTCAAATCCATAAAGACTATAAACTAATCAGTTTCACAAAGCAAGACTTGGTTGGGCTTTCTTTAATTTGTAAATAAATCAAGGAAGTTGTTGTTTCTCTAACTGCTGGATGATGCCAGTAAACATGTTTATGGTACCAGAGAGAGATAGAAACACTCGATAGGAGGAGTCAAAGTCCCTGATGAGCGCGTTTCTACACAGGTAACCATGGAGGTGCATGCTATGCTGCAGGCAGGAACAGCCAACCCGCCATTAATTTCTAGAGTGAAGGAGAGAAAACTTCACTGCCATTTTCAGATCCATGTGACTGCATGTGGGGCAAAAAAGATGATAAAGACTCAATAATCATCATATTGTAACAACTGTTTACATGCATCTTGCACTACTCTCCTTGACTGAATATTGATT